GGTTTTAGGGTTTAGGGTTGAGGTTGTTGCGGGGGGCTTGTTTGGTTTCATCAGGTGTTGTATAATCCACAAGGCCATGTCGGATTTTGAAGGGGGGCTTCATAATTCGAACAGGGTTGCGGGGTATGTTGTAGTTACAATGGTGCTTTTAGACATGTTGAAATACACAGGCTAAAGGAGGCGTTTATGAAGTATTCAGACCCGTATGAGTCATATGAGGGTTCAACCAAAGAAACGGTGCAGAACATGCGGCATCTCAGGTACTTTATTTGAGGGTCTGCTTACATACATGTTTCTGCAAAGCCCTGACGCAGGGTTCAAATCAAAAACACGAACAACACAGCCCTCGTGAATATACCATCCCACTCACTATTCTGGCCACATGGCACAAAGCTGATCATGATAACCACAACACCGGTCAGCAGGAATAGCACAAGTAGTGAGTCCGTACAAGGCAAACACATGCAGAAATCGTAGATGGGCAGTGATAATGCCACTTGCTACTTCTGCTCCACGTCACCACCACACTCTGCTTTCAAAAAAACACCCCAACAAGCCGTGGCATCAGGACCTCTCGCACTCCTGTCGCTGCGACCGCAGGGAGACTGAAGCCCAGACAAGAGTCCAAAAACAGAACTACGATTGGTTCAAGCCTCCCAAACCCTAAGCCCAAACCATCAGACAGCACAGGATTTGCTGGAGATGCACCTGGATAGCCATGTTGGCATCGGCGACGGACTGGTTTGTAGAAAGCTTCTGCCTCAAAGACGGTTGGGTGTTGTGCGTCGTGGTCGCATCAAGGTCTGCGCTTGAGCCGCAGGCATGGCTTTGGTCGGCAGCGGCCAGGCCACAGGCAGGCCGTCTGTGACTGGCATTGCCGATGCCGTAGGTGCCTAAGCGTGGCCGAGTTTCCACAAGTCACCCGGAGACTGAAACTTCATCTCTGAGTGACAAGCTGTAGACTTTCCGGGAGGCACCGGGGCCGCCGGCGCCGCCCTTGGACAACACAACAAGAACAGCCAAGCAGGCATGGAGCACGCAAGGCATAAGAAGGGCGCTGGGCTTCGGACGGCTTGGCCGGCCAACCACCGCCCGGCACCGGCCCACCAGGACCCGGCACACCTGCTCCGGGCACCGGGCCGGAACCGACACCCATCCCACCACAGCCTCCGCAGCCTCCTGGGCCCATTCCGCCACAGCCCATTCCTCCCACACCGCCTCCAGGGATGGGCCCCACACCCGGCCCTGGAACGCCCATGCCGATACCACCAGGGTTGGGCCCGCAAAGATTCGGACCGCAGCCTCCCGAACCACAAGCTCCCGGACAGGGACCGGGGCCTTGAGCACAGCCACCTCCCGGACAGGGACCGGGGCCTCCGGGGCAGGGGCCCATGTGCCCAGGCATGGGCCCTGGGGCCATGCCACCGGGTCCAACGCCGGGGCCCGGCTGTCCTGGCATCGGACCCGGGCCAGGTCCCATTCCAGCGTGAGGCCTCAATGAAAAGACACGAGCAATGGCCATGCTGTCTGTCTTAAAGAAGAAGGGCCTCACCTCACCTTCGACATACCGTATTGTGGGTAGTTCTCCAAATTTTTGTGCCTTTTTAGGGTCCTGTTATAAGGGTGCCGTACTAGATTTGGGCGCCAAAAGGGACCCGAATTTAGAGAACCACCCATGTCAGAAGAAGATCCCCTAAACCCTAAACCCTAAACCCTAAACCCTAAACCCTAAACCTGGCAAGGCCATGGGGATCCTGCATGGGCTTCGGCTGCATTGGCCAAGCCCCACCGGGTCCGCCCATCTGCGCCTGCAGCTTTTCAACCGCGCCCCAAGCAAGGATTGGAGTCCAGTTGAAAACTGTAAAGACAAGCTCCTTGTTACATAAACTTGCATTTCTGTATGCACCATATGTTAAGATCTTCGCCATCCTTCTGAAGCAACGGTCTCACAAGGATGGGTATCTCACGCACAGATCGCTGGGCTCCTCACCCCTGGAGCCTTGCCTGGCACCTGCCAAAGGACAGCACCGACCCCTCTCGCACAGGCCCTCGTAGGTGAGGTGCTGTGGGCCCGGCCGGCGCAGCCTTCGCACCTCCGAACAAAACAAACTCTGTCACAAAGGACTAGCCTGCACTACACCTGCTGTGGCAAGACTACAAACAGTGTGCGTGTGTGTGCGTGCGTGCGTGCGTGCGTGCGTGCGTGCGTGCGTGCGTGCGTGCGTGCGTGCGTGCGTGCGTGCGTGCGTGCCTGTGTGTGTGTGTGTGTCTCTCTCTCTCTCTCTCTCTCTGTGTGTGTGTTTGTGT